ATACCCTACCCCAGACCCAAAAGCCGAAAAACCATACCCTATAGGGCGGCACATACCCGTATAGCAAATATAGGGGAGTACCCCCCCGGGAGCATGGAGCCCAAACTAAAGAGGTCTATCTTAATCTAAGCCTAACTGATCAGAGCCAAGGCACGGCTAACTAACACCCAGGTTTAATTCGGATGTAACTTAATTTGTTTAGATTTTGTGGAAGGAGGAAATCCGAAGAACCCAGAGAAAGCCCCTTGAATCAAGTAAGAGACTAGTCCAGACGTTGGACCATCTCCTTTACCGCTCAGCTTTAGTTTTTGGGCTTCCTGTGTCCCCTTCCGCGACTCAGGAAGACCAAAAACAAAAGCGGAGTAGTAAAGGAGAATTAGCTCTACCTTCTACTATGTACAATTATATATTTGATCTGGTTATTTGCTATCACGTGACTCACTCCAAGGGGCATGTAATCTATGTTGTGGCCACTAATTGTGATAACCCACGAATGTGATTGGCTTATTCATCAAGCATAAATTTCCATTCCACTTTTCATCTCTGCTCATGAAAAAATAACCATCTTCAAGATGTCGGGAGTGAACCTTGTCGAAAATGGTGACTTTGAGTCGGCAAATGGCGACAGTCCTATCTATTGGCGAGGATTTGGGAATTCGGAAGTATCTATTCATCCGACTGAAAATTTCAATGGGAAAAACTGTTGTATTACGAGCAAACGAGCTAAGAATTCCTACGGTCCTTGCCAGAATGTTCTCTACTCTGTCAAGCTAGGTAAGAGAATGCTCCAGCTGTTATTTCTACAATTCAATAATCGGCTCAACTACTCTTTTATTATTTTTATTTTATTTTATTTCATAGTTTTTTTTTTTTTTTTTAAATAATGGAATTTAGCTTCGAGAGTTTACTGTAAATCAAGTGGTTGAAATTGAGAAGATCCAGGCATCAGCAATCTTGGTTATAAAATGTATCTAAATTTTCTTATCTGCTGCCTTTCAATGATATTAATTTAGTTTATTTTTTAATTTCCCCTCACAATATTTCGTGTCTTTTATTAATCTAGGTCTAAATTTTACATTTCAGTGGAATTGAAAGCATGGAATAAGGGTTTCAAAAGGGCTAGGTTTTTTGCGAGAGCACATGAAGTACAGCTGTCGTTCATCATGCCGATTCTTTCTAAAACCTTAACATGATATACAAAGAAAAAGAAAAAAAAAAGAAAAGAAAAAAGAAAAGATTTGGTGTAATTTATCTTTGAATAGCTCGGTCTTTCTCGAATTAACCTTTACATCTAAAAGTCAAAATTTATTCTATGGTTATGGATTGCGAAGTAAAAGAAGTATATTAGAAAATATAAATATATATACTTAAGGGAATACGATGGGCTTTACTAGAAAATTAATGGGATAATCTCAAGCCATCTGAGAAAGATTTCCTTTCGTAGGCTGATTGTGAAAAAAACATCTGGCCTCACTTGGCACTTTCTATTCAGAATTAAAATTATGCTTGTACATTTGCTATGCTGCTTTATTCAATGAAATCTTAATCTTAGACTGCTGTATATAGCTATGATATAATTTCATTTAAGATTCATCGTCTAGAGTCTGTTAACCGTAAGTCCTGTTTATCGCGTTCTTCGTCTAGACAAGTTCCTTATTTTGGCTTTGAACTTTGCTGTTTGTTTTGCTGGTAGATCGACTAGATTAAATTTTCTAAACATGTTTTTATATACCGGAATGTTGATCACAGATATAGACATTTTGTCGCAAGAATGGCCAGTCAAGAATACTAATAGAGTAACTGATACGAAACTATCTTTATCATTGAGCTCAAACATATTGCCAAAATGGAAAACCGCAAGACCAATTATATAAATACCTGCCCTTTGGTCCGTTTGTATTGTAAATGAAAATGGGAATGAGAATAGTTGGGAAACTGAAAAACAAAAATCCAAAGAAATTCTTTGAACATTAACTGCGGATCTAAATCTGTTGATATTACGACTCAAACTCGTACAAAAGAGTAGAAAGAGGTAGAGAATTTCGTGTCCAGATTGCTATCTTTTTATATTCATGAGTATATGCTTTGCAGAAATGTCCATCCATCCATCCATCCAT